GCCGGGTGACCAACAGGGTGTTCATGAGCATGTGGGTGGGAGGAGGAGAGCCGTGTTCAATGAGGGCAGAGGAGAGAACTGGCAGGGGGGGCCCAGGTTGGCGGTGGCATCCAGGTGCCCCAGGAGCACTGTGAGGTCTCCTTCTCATGCTCCCCCATGCGTCTCTCAGGTGCTGATTGACAAGCTGTCCCAGTGTGAAGAAGAGCCCAGCACCATCCTTCCCTACAGCATGGCTGCTGTTTGCATCCTCAGGTACTTGGTCATTTGTCTAACTTCACTAACTGCAGCACTGCTCAGTATCCTCCTTGGCCCAACCCCACCTAAACTAGTTCCTCTGCTTTGCTGATGGGGTGGGAATGTGTCCTTTCCCCAGGTTGGGTACTGAGTTTCCCTGTAGTGATGACACAAGGGCCTTCAGCAAAGGGCCGACAGTGTGGATACTGTAGGAGAGTCAAGGATCGGTGGGCAGGGCAGCAGAGGGGTCAGTGGGCCAACCCTGACCCTTGGGTGCTGGCACACTTCAGCCTCCCTTGAGGTTTCAATTCATATTGTCGCCTCTGGGTGCCTATTTCCCTGTCGAGACCTGCCCACATCAGAGCCAATGCCAGCCCCACAGAGCTCCATCCAGACAGGCTCCTCTTTCCTGACAGCAAACTGAAGCCAGCCCTGGAGCCAGCCCTGGAATCGCGCCTCCTCTACACCGCCCTCCACAAGACCTTCCTGATGGCCACAGGGCACAACAGCCAGCACATCCAGGTACCTCTTTCTCTCACCGCACAGTCCCACCAGCCATCCCCTGGCAGACATGGCACAGGGCTTTCCAGCACTGACCCTCTTGGCTCTCTGTCCTCTTCCAGGGCATGCAGCGGATCAGCGTGGAGTACCTGGAGGCCATGCTGAGGTGCCTGCTGGCAACTGCACCCAGCCTGGCCAGGCTGCAGTTCATCGGGCAGGTGAGCACCATGGGGAGAGGCTGGGTTTCGGGCGGGGGCAGCTTCAATGACCTGTGCACTGCAGGAGCTGGTCCTCAGAGAAGAATCCCTGGCTCCTTCCTTGGGATAGCAGTCTGGTGCAAGTTCAGCATGCCTATCCCTCAGGCATTATCCAGCGAGTGGTAGATGCCACTTTAGATCTTGGGTTTGAAACTTGGCAGGGATACAGGATTTTGTCTCCTTCCTGTCATGCTGTCTATGTTCAGGGACGAGAGGAGCAGCCCCGAGACAGAATCTGCTCCCAGCTTTAAGAGACAAGAACCAGCCCTGAGATGCAGAGGGAGGGGTCGGGGCTGGGAAAGGGCGTTTGGGGGCAGGGCCGTGCTGGGTGCAACAATCCCTTCTTACAGCGTTTGGCCCCCTGAGGCTGATGTTTTACCCTGGGCTTAAAGGGGCAGCACGCGGGAGGGGGCGGGGGTGGGGATCATTGGTACAACAGGAGCACGTGTCCACTGCCCTGCACTTCTTCCTCCCACAGCACTTGACCTTGTGGCTCCAGTTGGAAGATAAGAGGGACAGAGGCACGGCCATCAAGATCACCACCACCCTGCTCTGCTTTGCAGTTTCCCTCCTCCCACAGTTTGAGGTAAATGAGCCTTGTGTCAGGTCCTGACTGCAGGCAGAGGCAGGGCTGGTGAAAAAGCCTGTGGGATAGCAGTGGCAGCGGTAAGTGCGGGATAGGAGAGAGGATCCCTGCATGGCAGAGTGAGGGCTGGGAAATGGCTGTGCTTGATTCAAGGGCTTGTGCTCCTGGCTAAGAGCCCCTGTCTGAGGAGAGGGCAGCAGCTGCCACAGAGTGCTCCAGGCAGATTCATGCCTGTCTCAGGAGTCCTGCTGCTCCTCCTGGAGCAACAAATGCAGGGAGTCCTCAGGGGGCCCGCTCCTAGACCCTTGGCTCCCTGCTGGGTGAGAGGCAGAGAGATTTATTTCTCAGGCTTCAGGAGATGCACACGGGCCAGAGAGCCTGAGGGGATTGCCAGTCGGACCTAGATGGACTCCCCTGTCCTCTGCCTTTCCTTAGGACTCGCCCAAGGTGCCCCAGGTGGGTGACCTGGTGGTCCTGCTGGGTCTGTGCATCAGCGACCCAGTGGAGGAGATCAGCCGCCAGGCCAAGGAGGGCCTCTCCCACCTTTACAAGATCTTGCTGCATCAGAAGGCTATGGAAACCTTGAGTCCAGCTGTGGGAATCACCTAAGAAAATCAGCCTGTCCAGGGTCTGCAAGCTGGGAAGGTGACATAGGGGTAGAGTTCACGGAGACATGAGGGCAAAGTGGCCTCAGGGAGGGCAGGAGCAGTAGCCTTGAACTCAGGGGAGGGACTGTAGGGTGTTACGTAACCCTTGGGCTACAGCCTGGCTTCAGTGAGATCGGGAGGTTCCCCTCTTAGACATCATCTGTGCCATGGCACCAGTCCCAGGGTCTGCAGTTCAGAGCGCTCACATGTTTTCGGTTCTGAAGCCAGACCAGCAGCTCTGACCAGCCTCTCTCTGTCCTAGGGCACCTAAACAAGCAGGAACCAGAGACTGGGTATGAGAAAATAATCAATCCTGAAGTACGATAAGTGAACTGGTGAGAAACAGGTGTAGCCTCTCACCTCTGGGTTGGTGAAGCCTCCAGATATCTACCAATCCTAGGTCTTTTTAATAAATAAGAGGGCTTGTTTTCAGTTTTCTGATAGACTCTATTAACAGTAACTGAGTTTTCAAGCACCGTATCCAATACACAGTTTCAATCACCACCCAAAAGATTGGACTTTGTTGCTGACATATTGGTACTGTATGACAAAAAGATAGCATCTCCACTACTCTTACCTCCCCTCAGAGTCGCCCCATTTGTTAATGAATGTGAAAGCAATCTGTTTGTGAATGAATATAGCTGTACCTCTGCTTCAAGAATTGCGTGAAGAGTGGGATACAGCTTTTCAAAGCATTTCTTGTAAGAAAAGCAATCCGACTGTCCAGAGATGGTAACGGTCTGAGCACTTTCGTCCCTTCGGTGGGCTTTCAATGCTCTCCCATTGCATGACATGATAGTCATTGTCATTAGTTATCCCCTTTGTACATTGAATGAAGTTGCCAAGCTCCTGGGGACAAAGAGGGAGAAGACATAAGAAAGACAAGACGTAACGAAGAACCCCCAGAGCAATATCTCACTGCTTGGTCACATCCAGGTCCCTGATGGCTTCAACTAACACGACCACACTCACCGCTCCACACACTAAATAGTTACAACAGATTGTTATTGCACCATCGACCATGTGTTAATATTACTAATTTCACTAAGATATGAAAATCCACTAACCAAAGCAGTAAAGGAAGTGGTAATAATGTCATGTCATGTAATGTCATATACTTCCCTCAATGCCTGTGCTGAAATGTCTAGACGTAAAAACAATGTTACTATATAGCCAACCTCTTGAGCACCTCAGCCTTCAGGAAACAACAATCTATCTACTAACTGCTAAAAGATTTAAAGTGGCCTTCAGTATACGTATAACTGACTAATGACACCTAATTAAAGAGTCCTTGTATAATTAAAATGAAGATATTCTGGATTTGGCTTCTTCACAGGTAATTAGCCCAAGTAACAGGGGTTGTGAAGGCTTCTCAGGTGGAGGGGCAGCCGCCTGCTCAGCGGCCTCACAAAATGGAGGGGACGCTGCCTCTCAGCATCGCACAAAATGGAGGGGAAGCTGTCCCCTCAGCAGGCTCACAAAATGGAGGGGATGCTGCCTCTCAGCATCACACAAAATGGAGGGGAAGCTGTCCCCTCAGCAGCCTCACAAAATGGAGGGGGTGCTGCCTCTCATGGAAGCTGTCCCTCACAAGCCAAGGAGGCTTGCCTGGTCCACGCGGCAGTGTGAAGGGAATGCAGCGCAGGAGCCCAACAACTTTGCTGCCTGGGACACGCAGGGGAGAATGGTGATGATGATGCCATCGAGGAGCGCTCTGCAGAGGGGTCGGCAAAACGACCCTGCGGGCGACGGGGTTGAGGAGTACCAACCCTCTCTCAGCGAGTATGGACTCCCCCTGGGAAAGGGTAAACCCCAGGTACTTACCTGGGGCTTGCATGGAGGCGTAGACCAGCTGCTGGTGTTTCCTGTGGTAAGTCTGAGCTGCAGTGCGAATGGAAGGACGCTGCTTGATCTTTGATTAGACCAACTAAATAGTTGGAAAAACTGTTCTTTGCAAGCTTTCAGGCACAAACACCCTTCTTCAGGCATAGGGACAGTCTGCTGGCGCTTTGTGTTCTCCATGGTGGAAAAGAAGTCAATATGCAAACTGCAGGTCTGTGACTATGCGACTATGTGGCAGCGAGGATCAGAAGGGATGGGGGACAATAAGTGTGAGACAAATAGGTGGCGGGGGGGATGGGAAATGTTGAACTGGTGCTCAATTGTAGCTGGCAAAATGCAAGTTTCCCCAAGTAGCTTGTGCACAGGGAAAAAGGGGATTAATTGTGTTTCGAACCAGCGCTGTAGAGATACGCCTAGGTGTTCGGTAGGTAACGGGCCCGCAAGCAACAAGGAGCTCATTTGCCAATGCTGCCACATCAAGTGGACTTCAGCCACCACCTAACTGCACGTAAGAGTCTTCCCACCAGGGATCCTGATTTTCTCTGATTTAAAAAAAATCCAACTCCAAATCTACATTTTTCCATGATTAAAATCCAACACCACTGTGTACACATCTCTATATTAGTGGTGTTTCATTTAAATGACGGAAAAATGTGGATTTGGAGTTCCTTTTTTTTAAACAAAATTGGGGATGTTTTTTAAATCAGAGAAAACTAGGATCCCTGCTCCTCGCTGTTTCTTGTGCCTGGGAGGCACCTGAGAGAAGGGCAGGGCAGTGAAAAAAGACCCTTTTGAAAATGGAGATGCTAGGGGCAAACAGAGACTGAGAGAGAAAGGCAGCAGGGGAGGAAGCTGAGAGCACAAGTGAGAAGCCAGCAGGGATGTTCCCTGAAAGAGACTGCCTGCAAGGTAGCCAGGTGTTTGGGGCCCAAGGGTTCACCCGGTGTATTGTAGCTGACCAGTACACACTGCTTTCTCTTGAAAGAAAAAAAGAAGAAGAGCTGCTTGCTTTGGGTGCACTCCGTCCCCTTGAAGAGGGAAAGTCCCCTCCCAGAGTTAAGCCAGAAGGTAAGGGAGCCAGAGAGCAGAAATTGGGGGAGTTCAGGACCCAAAAGGCGAGGATCAAAGAAAAGGAATGGACTGGTAGCACCAAGCAGAGGGTTGTTTCTGGTCTTGAATCACTGAGGGGACAAAGACCCCTTGGGAAAATTAGGTGATTTATTTTAAAGGAGCCCTGAGGATTTCATCCCAGAGGTTAGCTCTTAGGGGTGTACGAAGCAGGCCGTATTTGATTTGGATTTGCATTCGGCCCGATTCAGGGGACACTGATTCGATTTGTTGATTTGGATCACTGTCCCGATTTGATTTGGCTGAATCCAAATCTGAAGATTCAGTGCTGATTTGGAGAATCAGCGATTCAGCCATAGACACAGCTTTAAATGTTTTTTCTACATAGCTCGAGGTACCAGGCACGGCTTGTGAACGCTGAGATGGTGGGGCAGATGGGGTGTCCCACAGGAGCGTGGGGGAGGGTGGCCCGTGTGCTCAGCGGCGGACCTGGAAGTGGACCAGAAGTATTTCCGGGTCCGCCGCCAAGCACGTGGGGGACCCCTCTCCCCCGCATCTCCCAGTTTGGTGAGCAGCTGCAAGTAGACCCTGGGTGCCCCCCCAACCCAGGAGGCACTAGTTGTCAAGCCAGGGGGTAGGGGGGGTCACTTGCACGCTCCGCAGCAGACCTGGAAGTGAACCGAAAGTGCTTCTTGTCCACTTCCGGGTCCACCGCTGAGCGTGCTGGGGATCCTCCTGCGCTCCCGTGGGATGCTCCGTCAGCCCCACCATCCCGATGTTCACGAGCCACCTGGTACCTTGAGATACGTAGAAAAAATATATAAAGCTGTGTCTATGTCCGAATCATTGAATCTCACCTGCCCCCACCCTGCACACAAATCTGGGAGTATGTGTCCCCCATACCCCTCTGGGAGTGCGCACAGATGTGGGGAGCCAGCTCCACCCTGCCTCCTGGATGAGCTGCCTGCAGCCCCAGCCCGCTCCCCACCCCGGCCCCGGAGCCATGCGTTCCAGCCCCAAACTCTGCATATCACCTGGGCTGGGCTGGAACTCTCCAGAAAAGTTCGAGGGTGGAGGGAGGCTCCACAAGTTATTTTCCCTCCATGTTATCCAGGGAATCTCCAGTGTATAATACTCGACCACTCCTTGGAACAGGCAAAAACCTTTGTCTCTCCATTCTGCAAGATGTGTGCTCAACACTGGGCTTCTGATGAGTGCTCTCTACACTGTGACCCCTTCCCATCCGGTCATTCATGAATTCTTTTCTGTGCATTGGCCACATTCGGGAGATGTAGAGGGTGTCCCCAATCTCCCATCCCAGCCTTGCCAACAGCTTGGTGGTCAGGGCTTAGCTCACTGTTGTGGGAAGTAGGAAATGGAGGGTGCAATCTTTCCAGTCTGAGGGGGACCTCGAGTTCAGGTTTCCAACTTCCTGAGAGAGTGCTCTAACCACTAAGCTTATGCAAAAGGTGGACATGACTGCAGCTTCCCCTCAGAAGTAGGCTCCTTTTAGTGCCAGACATACCACCCTGAGTCAGGCAGGCACCTGGGCTCTGAGGAGGAGCAGGATTTTAGAGACAACCCTCTGGTTCCTGTTGTCTAGGTCTAAGCACCTTTATGCCCAGGTGTCCTCAGACAGAAAGTTGGGTTATTTTGAAGGCGGCATCCTGCTTCCCAGCGTTTGGGCAGAGAGATGGGAACGCTTGCCACATTTGTAGAATTTTCCCGAGATCTCTACCTGATCGATGAAGGAAGGAGGAGATTTTACTCATGTGCACAGCAAGAAGGTCAGCTACCTGTGCAACAGTATCTCCCCCTTCCCTGTGCTCAGGGAAAGGCCAGGGTGGGGATGGGGATGATGGTGAAGGACAACGTCTCCGGGTAGCTGTCGATATGGTGAGTGACTACAAAACTTCATAAACCTGAGAGTTTATCCAGTTACTTCTGTTGCCAATTTTCAGTGTACATGAAAGCACCCCTTCTTTAAAGCAGTGCTGATGTGATTATATTGGAGGAGTAATGCCAGGATGTGAGGGAAGGCATAACACTGGGTTTTCTATAAGAAAGGCTCCAGGGAGCCAGAAAATAGGACTGCAGCTCACTCACTGTGGGAAATGTCTCCAGCCACATTCTGTATGAACAGGGGCATCAACTTGGCCACCTGATTTACTCAGACTTTCCTCAGTTTAAAACACATGGAAACAAGAACACGTAATGGAGCCAAAATGATTTCAAATTTAGGAGATAGCTGCTTTGGTTACATTATAATAACCAATATAAAGACAATAAGTTCTAAGCAATATAAAGGCAAAAGACAATAACATAATAGAAGAGGGGCCAGCAACATATTCAGATTCAGTCTGCAGAACCACTGGCGGTGGAGAGCTTTGCCTGTGCCTGCACCTGCCCCCATGTCAAGGTCAGGCAGCAAGGGGTTGTGCAAGAGCTGGGCAGTTTCTAGCTGCACCCGGGCCTCTGCCACTTATCGCCACCACCGTCCCTCAGTTGTAGCATAGGCAAAGCTTTCAGCCAGTGGGAAGCTGCACTCTCCCCCCCAGCCAGAGGGTAGGGGGCTGAGAGAAGCAGTGGCACAGGCACAGCTCCTAGATGTCTGACCCTGGCTTGGGCGCAGGAAAAACTCCCCACTGCCAATGTGCTGCTAAAGGCACTTGGTCCACACCAGACTGGAGCCGTATGGTTTTGGCCACAGCTTGTCAAAGGTTGCTGGCCACTGTATTAGGAGACTTTTCTTAGAAGCCATTGCATTAAAAATCTCTCATTTCAAATTTGCAAAATTTCAAAAAACTTGAGAAATATTATCTTTTATCCTCACTACAACAAGGTTGTAGGTCTTCCTATATTGTTTCAAAGTGCCCTCTAGTTAAGGAGAGGTACATTGGCCATAAAAGAGAATGCTCTTGGTTACATTGTTTTTGATAAGGAAGAGGAAGGGGTGGTCAGCCTTAAACACACAAGGCATCCCAGAACTTGTAAAAATTGTTGTAACCCCTGTAGCAGCAGCTGCTGCAGTGCCCTCTTCATTAACATCCACGTAAGATTTATGGATGGCTTTGGACACAGCCAGATTACGGTTTCCATTCATTCCTGATAAATCAGCCTTTGAAGGGTCAAACACATCGAGCATCCCCATAGCCTGCAGAGTTTCCCCAAGGTCATAGCTTTCCTGCATCTTGAATCGGGGCAGGTACACATTCACGTTTTGTTTATGCATCTTCGTCATCGTGGTCCACTCTACAAATTTTTTATAGATGAGTGCACTGTCAAGCTACAGGGGCAAAAACAGGAGAATAGAAAACTTAGGATGAAAAAACAAAGAGACCAAAGAGCTGAATTTGTGCGAGTGGAGTGAATCTGGTTTTCAATTTCATGTTTAGTATGATTATTTAACTACAAAAAACAAATGGATTACCAGAACACAGCTCATAATCAAATGAAGAATGGGAAGTAGGACCATTTCCAAATATATTTTAATCTTTTCCTGTGTCTTTTGAGATAAAGATATCAAATTTTATTTGAAATGTGGGAAATATCTAACCAGCACAATTGATGCTCAATCCTGCCGCGCTCCCAAAGTAACATTTTTTAGATTGTCACTAAAAAGTCATATTTTCAGGATTAATTGTTGATTTTTTTTTTAAATCCCCAAAGTTTTATTCATTAGCAATTTACCATGTATATTTTGTCTAAGGAAATGAAATAGAATGTTCTCGGTCTAATAACGGGCATCTTCAAAATCCACAGTAAATGGGAGAAAATATAAAGAACCTTTACTATTGCCTTTTCTTCTGTCTGTACTGCCCAGGTAATTGAAGATGAGCAAAGATATCAGTGCATTCATAGGCAGCGTATATAAGCCTTTTATACACACCCTCAGAGATCAGAGGATTTACCTGTTCCAGGCCAGTGGAGTTATCCTTGATATCTTTTGGTAAAAAAATGAACATACTCAGTTCTCCTCCTTCTTCATTACCGTAGGGGAGTTCGAGCACTTGAATCTCAGGTTCCTCTATGATGGCCAGATTGTAGTAGCCATTCTGAAACATCATCTGCACATTCTTGGTCTGATTCTGTAATATGAAGAACAGACACGAAGAGAAGCAGAAAGCACAGACATTCCCCTATCCAGAATCTGTGTACTGGAAGTCACACAGTCAAACTGGGTTTAGGATCTGTTTCTGGCCCAGGATGAAATTCTCCACAGGTAGCCAGCCCCTGTTCTATCTGTCGGCTTTCTGGACCTGAACAGTGGCATGTTGTGTTCCTCCCTTTCAGCCCCTCTCACATCAAGTTCATTATAACTCTCCTTTTCATTCTACAGAGGACAATATGGACTTTTTTCCGACTTATGGTTTAGGATAGAATTTCCCTCAACCCCATCATGCATTTGTTTTGACATCTCAAATGAGGACATTTTGTTTTAAAGAACACCATAGAAAAACGTCCATTTGTTAAGGAGAAGAATTAAGTTAAAATCCCCTGGATATAGTTACGTTCCTCATTTTGGAACCCAACATTATAAAAGCCAGAATAGTGCCATGCCAGAATCCTGTTTTATAGATTTGGATTGCTTCAGGCTCAAGAACAGAACATGAATGCAACTTCTTATCAAGTGTGTCATGTGTTCAGCTCACGTGACCTTTTCCCCTTACCAGGCTTTTGTATCTAAATAGAAGTCCTAATTGGCCAGTTCCCTTATAATTAAATAAGTCTGTTATCTTCCACTGAAACCTCTTTGAGGATATCTCAATGTAGAGAAACATCTCTACAGAGTTAGTTAAAAGGGTTGACAGGCAGCAAGGAGAAGCTCTCAACCTCTTTTAATAAAAGTAAAGAGAGGGTTGTGTTTCCTTCACTTCAGCCATAGTCCATACAGTACCTTGTTTAACCTGAAAGGTCTTTCCTTGGTGTCTTCTTTCTTAAATTCTGAAGTCCACTTTCCTTTAAAGTAGATAGCATTGACCAGCACCAGGACAGTGTTTGAACCTAGAATGCCCTCTGTGAACAACTCTTTGATTTTACCTTTAAAAATAATCAATTCAGCTGCATTAACATACTTTGTTCAGATATTCCACTAGACTTGATTTATAATAATTCAGAGTTCAGTGATGACAAGAATGATCTTGAAATGAAACTGATGCATCAACAGTAAACTATTGTAGAGCTGCAAGCCAGAAGACCTCAGAGGCCATGTCTATTTAGCTCTTTTCTGCCAAGCTTAAGACCACTGTCAAGAAGCAAACCTGCCCACTCTCCTGGGCAAGCCTAATCATTAGGCAGATCAGTAAGTTACAGCGGTCTTGAGTGCATGCCCTGGCACCACTCTGAGGCTCTCCTGGGGCAGAGTGGCTGGCCCGTAGAGGTCAGGAGTGAACGACTCAGTGCCACTCTCCTGAGAAAGAGACTTGTAACTTGGTAGCAGTTCTTGGTTCTGCTGGGAGGCAGGATAGACATGTTCAAAGAAGTCTTGAACCTGTGTCCAATTTTCTAGCATTAACAAGTAAAGGACAATGTTGTGGAAAAATTGAAAAGCCTGTGAGGCTTAGCAAAGCAGAAAAAACTTCATCTTCAGGTAATATATTACTCATTAATTCTCATATGTATGTATTCATCCAAGCACCCAATATTTCCTGGACTTACCACTGGTCTGTTCTTCCACCCAGGTGTTAATTTTTTTTCTGGTTTCTTCTAGAGCATTCCTAAAGTCAACAGCTTCCAGTTCAGCATGGTACAGTGTCTCTGTGCACTTCAAGTATTGCTGGAAAGTAGGAAAGACAAATGTGTGTAACAGGGCCTATAACTTCCTGTGTGCAAGACCCTTCCCTATTGCACCAGAGCAAGAATGGAATATGGGTAGAGAGTGAGACTAAAATCTGAGGCTGTGCCAGTGCAACCTCCCATATCCTGCACAGACTATTTTCAAGAAAATCTATTTTCAAACCCACTTTTCTAATCAATGTTCATTCTTTCTTTGTCTCCAGTTATATTAACAGTTATTTTACAGTTTCAAGATGCAACTCAGAATGACTCCTTGACAGGAAAATTTGGTAAAGTCCAAAACAGGAGCCTCTCTTTATGCCCTAAACCTACTGTTACACATCTGTCATTAACTTTCAGAGGGAGCAGAGCACCCAATTGTGCCTTGTGTTTTTCACAATTTTGCCCTTAATGTCTTTTTAGGGACTTAAATTTAGGCTGCTGGGCTTGTTTATTGTTTTTTTTTGCGAGGTGGGGGGGAGGGGTTGAGCTTGTACTATAGTGAAAAAGGGAAAATGGAAATTATTTTTTTAAATGTTTTGTCCTCATAATTGAAGTGCATTAAACTCTCTTTTGTTCACAGTGTAGCCTTTACATAAGCAATTCTGCAGCCTGCAGAGGACATTCAGGCCCCTGACACATGTTAAATTTAAGATGTGATTAACCAGTTAATCATGTTTTAAATAGTAATCCAGCCACATGTTCAGGCAATTACTGGCACGATAAAATTCCAGTCACAATTCCTGTGCCACGTGATTGCCAGTCCCAGCTCTCTGGACTGCACAGGTTCACTGGGCAATTGGCTCTTTACTTGCAGGTGCAGGGCAGGATCAGGATCATAATCCTGGACTCTCCCTGGACTGGCCAGCATAATGATGAGATTGCAATCTAATCCCCAATCCCCATATAGTGCAGTTGACCATGCACATATGCCATTAAGTGAACATGTGCTAGTGAATATGTGCCAGGTAATATATACTGAAGGTATCCTTGAAGGTGCTATATCTTTTATTGTAGTAGTTAGGCACAGTGTTAGGCACAGTTAGCTATTATTGAAGATGCATCTTCTTTGTATCCCCATTCAAGAGGCCCCTTTCTAGTTCCTTATAATTTTGTCAATGTTCTTATTTTGGGGGGTGATCTCATTCTTTTTGTCAAGGTCCTTCTTTGCAAGGAGAAACCTTTGTCAAGGTTTCTGTTTCAGCAAAAGTGGATTAGCTGCTTTTGAGCATTAAAGCAATGAAAGGAATATACCTTTGTGATAAGAAATAGCATTTCTGAAAATCGTTTGAGCAAGATTGTGGCATTACTGAAACCCAATATTAGCCAAGAGATAAGTACTGGGTCAGACATGTGACCTTCTCAGTTCACTGAAGATAATGTGACAGTTGTCTGAATTAAAAGTGTTTGCAAAATGGGCTCTAACGCGTTCTGTTTTTAACAGACAACAGTTTCTTTTTATTGATGATCTTCCAATGGTCTCCTAGTTCTGCGTGTGAAACAGCAGTACATCCTGTGTGGAAGTTCCCACTAAGCGTACTCTATGTGGAATGCAAGGTAACCCTGACTGCAAGTTGCCCTGTGTGGAGTCCAACTGATTTCACAGGAATTAAGTAGAAACAAATGTGGAAGATCTACCTCATTCACTTCTTGCAGGAATGATCTTGCAGAAAGAATATTCTTTAATCACTTCATGAAAGAATCCTCATAATGTGCACACTTGGGGCTAAAGTGACCCTGTTTTGGCATTTTTAT